CCTCATATGACAAAGGCAAGAACCCTTTTGAGAACAAGATGGCCACACCCCCACTTTTTGAGTTTTTATGACTACACACCACTGTCCCCCCCCCCCCCCCCGCACGCTCATTCTCGGGACAATTACGTACCAAATGCCCCTCTTTTCCACAGCCAAAGCATTTCATTGATTCAGTTGAAGCGTAGAAGACATAATCAAATACATCAATCTTAAAACTGAATGCTAAATTCAGTTCATCAATGTCCTTTTTAAAAATCATATGCACTTGTCTCCTATGAGACACGACATGTTTCAGCAACGGAGATTTGCATCCAAAAAGAACCTTCTTTATTGTAGATACAATTTGACCATGACGAGATAACTCTCACTCCAACACTTCATCTCTAACAAATGGTGGCACGTTAGATTAATTTTCTTCGCCGGATTCATAAGCGGAAATACCGGCATCTGTGTCTCCCGCAACACAACACCACTCTCAACTATCTTATTCACCTTTTCAATGGAATCTAAAAATATCACTACAGCGCTATTCATCCTTGAGGCTGATTTGATGCTATCATACCCAATGATAGCACCCACTGCCAAGCTACATTCTTCCACTGAACACCCGGCCGTAGCTGGAATCTTTACTCCATGCCGCCGACTAAGTTTTTCAAACTCCAAACTTCCGCGAGTGGCCATTGCAACCAGCCCCACCCGCTGGTTGTGCCCTCGGGAAAAACAACCTCAACGATCCCACCACCCCTATAGACAAGTTTTTGAGCCGTTTCCGCTCTACTTCCTGAACTCCTCCCGTCGATGCAATCCAGTTCCGTTCTGCCGGGCTGGGTTTGTTTTGCTAGCTAGCTCCGTTGTGCCGACAAAGCACTGATATCGCAGTGACAAAGAGGATATAAAAATTACAATTACAACATGAAGAAAAGTGGTTCGGGAACGACGTGTGCGGTAGTTGGTTGCAAAAACTCGAGAAAGCACCTGAACAAGTGGTTAGATAGAGAGTGCTATGACCACAAACCAGCTACAAAGAGGCAATGTCCATGCGCTCCATTGTTTACATTTTTTCGCAAGCCTGATACCGACTCGGCATCAAGGACCTGGCTGAAGGCATTGAATCTAAAGAAACCACCCCTCAACGTTTTTGTTTGTTCCTATCACTTTGTTGACCAAAAACCTACCAAGGATAATCCTTTCCCAGAGTTGTGGTTGGGATACAATCGCCCTCCCCAGCCAAATAGGCATCAACTCACCCAGCGGACCACTGCCTCCTCCCAGATAAAGAAACGCAGACTTGAATCTGAGGGTAAGTTCAGCAACTTTAGCTATGAAGCTGACAATACTGTTAATTATGAAGAAGTTGTCATACATTAACATTGCTACCGGTATTTTGCTAAGGCAGTTGATTGTTTTGGAGATGGGACAAACAATGCCCACGATAGCTACATCATTAATTGTGTGTGTGTGTGTGTGTGTGTGTGTGTGTGTGTGTGTGTGCCTGCCTGCGTGTGCCTTAGTCTACATCATAAATACAATGCAAGGTGGCAGGCTGTTGTGATGATGATTGTGTGTGTGCGTGTGAGTGCAATGTTGTAGTACACATTTTTCCATTGTGATGTTTGTAGTGAGAGGACTCTATGCCTGCATTAATTTTGCTCCATCCATGTTTTCTCTTCCCCTTTTTAGATGCTCCAGAAACCTGTCAGCCTGTCTGTGAGGCCGAGCCTGCTACACCAAAATTTTGAGATGCCCAGACCCAATGGGAGGATCCGTCACATATTGATCACATTTACTGTTCAACACAGTCTGTTAAAGTAGACAAGGCCACACAGTGCGAGGCAGAAATGGGTCCTACTGTGACCAGCACCACGGTCATTGATGATGCTAGGTCCCGGCTGTATACAGGAGTGCTTATGGTTCAATTCTTCACCCTGGTGACGGTGTTGTTGCCTTTCAGTAAGCCATCAATTACCCTTCCTGTTGTTGACCAAATACTTATGACGTTGATTAAACTAAAACTAAACCTAATATTAGGAGATATTGCTCACCGCTTCAATGTGTCTACATCCATGGCAAGCATTGTGATTAGTCACTGGATTGACGTGATGGGTGAACAGTTCAAAGTCCTGATCCCCTGGCTTCCAAGAGAGACCATTCGTGCCACCATGCCCTTGTCGTTTCAGAGGAACTACCCTCGAACCACCTGCATCATTGACTGTGCCGAAAGTGCCATGCAGAGAGCCACAAACCACGACTCAAGGAGTGACACTTTCAGCCAGTATAAATCACGCAACACTGTGAAATATCTCGTCGCTGTGGCCCCTAATGGGCTAATCATGTTTATATCTGATGCCTATGCTGGCAGAAGCAGCGATAAGTTTATCACCATGGACAGTGGGTTCCTAGACTATCTGAGGGCTGGTGATGAGGTCATGGCGGACCGTGGGTTCACCATTCGAGACTTGCTTGATGAGAGAAGGGTCAGTTTGAACATCCCTGCTTTCACCTACAGGCGCAATCAGTTGACCAATGAGGAGACGACACGCACCAGGCGAGTAGCCAATGTCCGCATACATGTGGAAAGAGCAATCCAGAGACTGAAGGTGTTTAAGATTTTATCCCAGAATGTTCCCATCAGCATGGCACCGAAACTGGACAACATCTTAACCATCTGTGCTGGCCTAGTTAACCTGAAGAGTCCACTGGTCAGTGAGGTTTAGAATCTTGCCCTGTGTCCCTGTCTACCAACACCCAGCCATGTTGTTCATTAAATACAGATAAACACAACAAATACTGCGTGCATTGTATTTTTTAATATTATATATGAATATTTTCATAGTGATGTAATTGTGTGGGCTGCTTTTGTATTTTACTTTTTAAATACCTGTTAAGATTAAACACGCAATCTTTCTTGTTGAAGCCATTTGTTTAGTTTCCTCAAAACAATTAATTAATCCAGTGTTATTTATGTACAGTATGAGCTTACTATGAATTATGAACTGTGTTAAAATAAATTGTAGCACTCTAAGGATTGAAATTACATCAAACTTTATTTTCACTCAAACAGTAGGCACACTGATATATTGCACAGCATAAAGAGATCATGTAAACAATGGACATCTGTTGGCTCCTGTGGGCATGACCTAAATAAGGCAGTTTATTTTGGTTTTAAAATGCTGAGATATTTACTGCATAACTGTAACCTTCCCTCAACAAAATCATCAACAATTTTCGGGAGCATGTGGGCAAAGTAGAATGTGCGCAGCCTTATGATATGCCCCTGGACAAAGCCTTGGTCGTAGGGTACTTCGATTTCTAGGTGCTCAGTTTTGTTCCAGATCACCAACTTGGAGTGCTGAAGCCCTGTGAAGTGCATCCCAATTTGTACCTGCATGTAGTAGCCTTTTGGACCATTGCAGGCAATATGGTAATCTACCCTATCTCCGTTTGCCACAGTTGTGATTTCGCAGTTCTTTGTTGCCAAAAATTCTGCAAGTGACTTGTTTCCCATCACAGGTGATTTGATCTCCAACAGAATGTCGTTGTTTATCACTCCATCGGGAGATGCTGCAAGCCACGGTTCCTTTTCGCACACCACTAAGCCTTTGGTTTCAATGCTGTTGCCCAGAGTTTCCAAATAGTCCCTTGCAAGTTCCTCCCCCTCCGCTCCTTGACGGGTTGCGGCATAGTAGTAGAACCGTGTTCCCAAGCTAGCGTCGACATCGCTGTGTTTACACCGGCAGACGTTGTGCCAACAACTTCCGGCGGAAATGAAATGGCGCCACCCGGGATACAGCGCGTAAACTTGTCTATACGTGCTTAGTGATAGTTAGACAAGATAACCATAAAACAACTAAACTAATCAATTAATATATATATACACACCAAAACCCAATAGAGTGAAAATACTTCCAGTCGCTCTCACAATCACTCCTGCTTCACGACTCACTCCCAGCATGCACTCCAACGAGAGAGAGATATAGATACTGTAGAGAAGGAGAGAGAGAGCAGGAGAGAGAGATACTGTAGAGAAGGAGAGAGAGAGAGAGAGAGATACTGTAGAGAATGAGTGAGAGAGAGAGACAGAGAGAGACAGTAGAGAATGAGAGAGAGAGAGAGAGAGAGAGAGAGAGAGAGAGAGAGAGAGAGAGAGAGAGAGAGAGAGAGAGAGAGAGATGGGCTTGATGGCTCTCCAGTCTCCAGGTGAATAAAAGACTGCACTCATTTCGTTCTGACATCCTGACTCCAGAATATATGCTTTGTTCCTGAGCTTTCAGCTTCCTGGCAGCTAAAGTCACGTCATGAGTGATGCCAAATGCAGAGAACAGAGGAGGCCATGCCAGTAAGGGGAGAAGCCGGGAGGAAAGCAAACTGTCAATATAACTCACATTGGCCAACAGTGCATTCTGACGTCCCTCATTACACGGTCAGCGATGCCTCTCTCCACAGTCAATGAGACAATGAATAAGAGAGAAAGACAGAAAACAGAAAACTCATTATTCATGCCAAATGTATTTATTCTGAAGGATATACAGTGCACAATAAACACAGTTTCCTTTGTCTAGAGTCTATTGAGTGATGGCAGTTGATTTTCCTGGACTGAACTGGCGAGCAGTTTGATGAATAATCAGTAAAGTGAGCCTTCTTGGTTTTGCATTTCAGACACAATGGCCGGCTCATTATAACTCACTGTGGCATGAAAATCAATAAGACCAAAAACACCATCTGCACAAGAAGTATTTACAGAGAACAGCTACAAATATGGATGGGGCCTCCATGATCATAATGAAGATCAGTGAAGGTGGTTAGCTCTGGAATTTAGGTAGTACTGTATCATCACATTTACTTCACTAGCTTTCATCTCATTCATGTAGAGGAGCAGAACAGTCATTGACGGACAATAGATCTTCTTTCCTTTAGGGGTTTTCCCTCATTATTTTGTGAACCTCAAACATCCTTACCAGGCAGATAAACCTAGAGAGAAGTGGCTGTCTCTCCCTCTGGTCCTTCCTCTCCTCCTCTCTCCTCTCTGCTGCTCCACAACCAAAACATGTAGACTGGTTCTTCAGGGTTGCCATAACAGGGAAGGCTTCCCAAGCACTCTACCCTGTGGCCCTGGTCCTGCTGCTATACGTGTCCCCTAGACTTGGACAGGTATGCTACGAGGGCCACCACCCCCCCCACGTACATCCCTGCCCCGATGGTGATGGAGAGGGCAGCGAGGAACAGAGCTCTTCTGGAGCTACTGCCTGCCCTAGAGAAGTCTCCCTTAGCCATGGCCTTGCTAGTCTGAGACAAAGGAGAGAGAAATTAGCCATGATTACATATGACTGAGAAAAATGTGAGTAGTAAAATGTGAGTAGTAAATTCACTGTAGGGAGAGAAAACAAGGAATTGTTCCCAGGGAGCCATTAGTTGCTCTGGCAATTATGTCACTACCGTTTTGACAGTGACTAATGTGTTGTTTGGATGTTTTTGGATCACTCCGAAAAGACCGGCCTATAACCCATTTGTCCCTTTATTAGGGTGATTTTGCAATGTAATTGTCTTTGCAATTAGTTTGAGAGATGTTGCGAACCACTGAGATAAATTGTAGTTGGATTAAGGGCAGGGAGGGGACCTGCTGCATTCAGAACCTGCTCACTAAAGTGCTGCTATTTATAGATAGACATAAATAATAATTAGTCATTTAGCAGACGCTCTTATCCAGAGTGACTTACAGGAGCAATTAGGGTTAAGTACCTTGCTCAAGGGCACATTGACAGATTTTTCACCTAGTCGGCTCGGAGATTAGAACCAGCAACCTTTCGGTTACTGGCACAAAGCTCTTAACCACTAAGCTACCTACCCATGAGCCCACACTATGGGGTTCAATATAATCACAATATCACAATGGTGAGACAGCCCCTGGAGAAGCAGATCATGTCTATTCATTATCTCCTGAAAAATACATGTAGCTAGATAGTATCTGCTAGATACTCATGTGGGCAATGTATTGCTAACATAAAATAACATGTATTTATGACGCTTTTGATTGACTAAATGAAAATAAAAATAAAACATACTGCATATGTGGCACAATCAACCTTTAGTTTTAACTGTACACAGTTTACATTGCTCTCTTAGGTGGTATTGTTGCTTGTCATCACAAGAGTAAAAAGGGGACAGAACCTATATAGTTTACGCAGTCAAGGGTCTGCAATAATTGGTAGAGGGCGATGGGTGTGGAAAATGGGCTGTGTTAGCACTTGAGAGAGCGAGAGCACTTGTGCCTACTGACCTTGCAGAGCGTGCTGGGGGTATTTAGCATTAATTACAGGGTAGTAGGTGTAAAGGGGTGAAGTGGGGCCTGGGTCCTGGACTCACCCTCTGGGAGAAGTAGAAGGCAGCGATCCCTAGGGGCCAGAAGCAGCAGAGCATGGAGAAGATGGCCAGGCCCAGGTGGTCCCGAGGGGGCAGCATGATGAAGTTATCCTCACTCTCAGTGTCACTGGAGCTGTCGCTCTGGGAAGGAGGAAAGGAGAGAGGGGGGACAGGACAGGACTGGTCATGTTTGGTGTATCTCTGAATTACTAAATGGGGGGACATCACTTTTATTTATAAAACAAATCAGCAAGGTTATAGGATCAGATTAGAGAACATTGTTCCATGGACCTGAACCCGACACTTATAGGTAGGTAACTCTGCACTACAGAGATACTGTGAATACCGTGTGAGCCCACACCTTGCTGTTACCGTTACTGCAACACCTAACAGTTTGACATTAGATGACAAACACCCCCAGGCATATCTGCCCTTGTTCTGCTTACATGCAGGACATGATGGGCTCAGTCAGGCAGAGAGGATTTGTATTTCTGTCAACACCCATGAGCGGCATAACAGATAACATTGGATTAACAGATTGTTTCATCATCACCAGGTGACAGGGGAAACAGGAAGAACACAGTGCCATTTATGTGCTAAATTGCCTCCCTTTCTCCACACGCACCCCACCACCCCTCGTCTGTTTGCCCGTCTTGCTTGAAAGGCTGTGAATGTTCTGATGGCCAGTGTGATCTCTTCCCATACTGTGCCTTGATCCTCCTCAGAGGCCCCTGGTTAGCTGAGGGGCTAATGAATGGGAAAGTCTGACGCTGCTGTGGGCACTCTGGCAAAAGTGAATAGCCAAACACGAGGAGCCACATCACTGGGATGACCTTTAAGGAGACATGGCCTCACCTTTGCAGTTCTCCCAGAGCGGGAGCTGCTGTTTGTTTAAATGAATGTCTCTCCATCAGGACAGGATTCATTTGTTAGTCTTGTTACTAACAGGGTTCAAACAAACCTGTGGGACTGAGGGAGGAGAGAAAATGGAAATGGATGTTCAGGGCCGAAAATAAATGAGCCAATTTAAAGAGGACGAAAGGAGAGAGGAAGAGGCATAGAGAGTGTGTAGACAAAGTGGACATAGCAGCAGAACCCTCATCTCACCCTCTCACCCATTGGCAAACATGATAGAGAGAGGGATAAGCATTTTGAAGTGTCCTTGCATTGTGCATGAAATGCCACAAGTACTGTGCTTGTAGAGAGAAAGTATTACATAATACATTTCATATGTAGCTACAGAAGCTATGACAATTCTGTTTGACGTTACACACAGAGACCCACATGCATAACCAATGATCATGAGATTTTGTCCCACAATGGGCCTCTGAAATAATCTATTTCATTCCTGGTGTACACCTGAAGCACCAGGTTAGATTCTCCACATCCAAGCACATTTCTAATGGATGCCCATGCTCCTGTGGATAGATTCGTAGACTGGGGCCTAGATTCAATCAGATAAAGTGTTAACCCGCAATAGCAGACACCCGCATAGCTGGTGTTTTGGCGGTGTCTGAGTTGTAACTGTCAAATCAGTGCGCGACTGCTCGTGTGGTCATTGTCACAAAGCTACACCCGTTCCACTGGCGTTAAGTTCAGAACGAGAAAGTGAAGGCTATATAGAAATGATGACACTCAAATTGAAAATCATTAAAGCCCCCATGCAGTCTTTTTAATTGTATTTTTTAAATCATCACTGTATGTCTCATAAATCACTGTGTGTTTATTTAATTAACATAATTCCAAATATATTTTGTATAATTTATTTAGCTGAGCCTCCTTTTGCCATTGAAATGCTCAGTCTGATCGTGTGGGCGTGTTGATACAAATTTAAGTATATTTACATACACAGCCCTGATCGTCTAGACTCCAGAACCAAACCCGCTTACCCCTTCAAAGTAGGAGGACACATAGGCAAATAAAAGATGACTGGTCATTGGTCAGAATAATCAGATCAGATTGTGATGTCATGATTTGGGCCAAAAACTCCATCCCACTTGAACAGGCTGAAATTCCAGGCACAAAAATTGCATTTTCATGACTTTCACAATTTGGAAAATCACATTTTTTACAGCACTGCCCCTTTAAACAAAATAATGAGGATTTCTATCAGCCTAATCGAGGTGTAGATTACATCTCTCATTCCTGTGTTCAAACTTGTAAACAAGGCAGGGGACACTGGGCACACCTTCAGGGCACACAGAGACGGCCATGGCCCACATCACTATGGACTGGCATCATCCACCCACACCTAGGCCTAAATCTTGTTTTACACCCCTACACACCAGCAATGTCCTGATTCCCCATCAAACTTGATGGGAAACACTGGCAGAGGGACTAAAGTGTTGGCATTTTGGAAAACATTGCTTTCTGAAATTGTGAGGGCTGTTTTGTTAGAATTCAGTGTGGCTTGTGACATTATTGATCTGGAAAAATGTATGTGTTATGGCTTTACACCCCCTGCTATATTGTGGATAAAGAGTTACCTGTCTAACAGAACACAGAGGGTGTTCTTTAATGGAAGCCTCTCCAACATAATCCAGGTAGAATCAGGAATTCCCCAGGGCAGCTGTCTAGGCCCCTTACTTTTTTCAATCTTTACTAACGACATGGCACTGGCTTTGAGTAAAGCCTGTGTGACTATGTATGCAGATGACTCAACACTATACATGTCAGCTACTACAGCGACTGAAATGACTGCAACACTTAACAAAGAGCTGCAATTAGTTTCAAAGTTGGTGGCAAGGAAGAAGTTAGTCCTAAATATTTCTAAAACTAAAAGCATTGCATTTGGGATAAATCATTCACTAAACCCTAAACCTCAACTAAATCTTGTAATAAATAATGTGGAAATTGAGCAAGTTGAAGTGACTAAACTGCTTGGAGTAACCCTGGATTGTAAACTGTCATAGTCAAAACATATTGATACAACAGTAGCTAAGATTGGGAGAAGTCTGTCCATAATAAGACTTCTCCCAATAAAGTGTTCCTTCTAACCTTCTAGGATAAAGTGTTCCTTCTAACCCCCCCCCCAAAATTGTAAAGTGGTTATCCCACTGGCTATTGGGTGAACGCATCAATTTGCGAGTCGCTCTGGCTAAGAGCGTCTGCTAAATGACGTTAATGTGCCCTTGAGCAAGGCACTTAACCCTAATTGCTCCTGTAAGTCGCTCTGGATAAGAGCGTCTGCTAAATGACTAAAATGTAAATGTAAATGTAATAAAGCACTGCTCTACCTTCTTAACAGCACTATCAACAAGGCAGGTCCTAGAGGCCCTAGTTTTGTCGCACCTGGACTACTGTTCAGTCGTGTGGTCAGGTGCCACAAAAAGGGACTTAGGAAAATTGCAATTGGCTCAGAACAGGGCAGCACAGCTGTCCCTTGGATGTACACAGAGAGCTAACATTAATAATATGCATGTCAATTTCTCCTGGCTCAAAGCGGGGGAGAGATTGCCTTCATCACTACTTGTATTTGTGAGAGGTATTGACATGTTGAATGCACCAAGCTGTCTGTTTGAACTACTGGCGCTCAGCTCGGACACCCATGCATACCACACAAGACGTCTCTTCACAGTCCCCAAGTCCAGAACAGACGATGGGAGGTGCACAGTACTACATAGAGCCATAACTACATGGAACTCTATTCCACATCAAGTAACTGATGCAAGCAGTAAAATCAGATTTAGAAAACAGATACAAATACACCTTATGGAACAGTGGGGACTGTGAAGCAACACAAACATAGGCACAGACACATGCATACACACACACGATAACATACGCACTATACACACACACGTACACATGGATTTTGTATTATAGATATGTGGTAGTGGTGGAGTAGGGGCCTGAGGGCACACAGTGTGTTGTGAAATCTGTGAATGTATTGTAATGTTTTTAAAATGGTACAACTGCCTTAATTTTGCTGGACCCCAGGAAGAGTAGCTGCTGCCTTGGCAGTAGCTAATGGGGATCCATAATAAATACAAATACAAATATAAAACATTGCCAGAGAGCTCACCAAAACAAAATTATTACTAAGAAGATAATTTAGATGGGTGCCATTGAGGACATGGTCCAGTCACGTGTTATCGTGTGGAATAGTTAATGCCATCATATCCCTACTGAGTACCATGTCTTGTCTGTATACAGATGCAGGGTTTCCAGGATAATTTATGATGAACACAAACACGTGTATAGAATAACTAATAGCAGATATTGGCTTTGACATGTAAGAACTATCGTCCAGCTCTTTCCCTCTTGTCTTCGTGTGTTGAGAACATTAACATGAACACTTTAAAAGCCTTCTACAGAGCTGTGATCTCCACCTGGCTGGCACACTCACTCCATCTCCAATTCCTGGAACTACATCCAAGGATTCAATTATCTACCAACACACAGTGAGCCACACACACACACACACATACATGTATACACACACACACACCTGCACACACAGAGGGTAAACCAAGAGAAGCAGCTGCCGAAGAAAAGTATTTGAGTTAAAATAACTAAATGGTGAGCCTATCATTATCTGATGTATTGGTGACTAAACAAAATGTGCTCCTGGTATTTCACAGAAAACTTTGATTTTGCATAAAGGACTCAGCGGTGAAAGATGTGTGAAAACCCAATGAATGCACAATCATGCCACTTAAATCTGAAATATTTGCCAAAGTGCTTGAAAAAAACTGTCATCAGATTAATTTGTTCTGTGAATCGACCTGGAATAACTGATCTGCTGGCTCACCTGTGCCGGGGCCATGTATCAGCCCAGTCTCCACTTAATAATACTTTCAAAGTACTGCATTCTGGCATTAATGAATGTATTTGCTGTGCATCTATCCATCTGCTAGTGACAGGAGCTGGACTGATGGTAAGCCCAGTTAGGGATCTATGCACTCCCCTGCTGCCAATTCACAGCACTGGGTATTGCACAACCCTGGCTGCATGAAATTTGATTTAGCCACTTTTCTAAAGAAGTTGCTCTGCCACTGTCACCATTTTAATTTGGAGTGGTTAGTCACAGTTTTGTCCTAACATAACAAAAGGCCTGGAGTGATATGATCAAAGATGAACAGGGAGATTTGGCAACAATTATGGAACAGAAAAACTACCGCTCTATTGGATTTGGAAAAGTTCTATGAAATACATCAAATGTGCCATTTAGTGAACAGACGGTTAGATGGAACAAATAGGTATGAATCATGCTTGCAGCTTTAGCAGCCTATTAGCAAGAGGTAGGGAGCTTTGTTAATTAACATGAACAGTAATGAGTGCCCTGACCAATTATTCTGTTCATAAACATCCCTGATAGCTTTCTGCAACTCACTATTAAAGTACACACAATTTGAGGTAACCTTGTTATTTCATTTGTCCTATTAATTTTTGTATGAGCATCATCACATCCCAAATCCAAAGTTCTAGTTGGTCACTTATAGTTGGTTGCCCTCTGTGTGAACTCTCACCTCATACTCATGTCCCTCCTCCTCCACCTCATAGGAGACAGTTTGGATCTTCACATCCTTCTCTCCCAGTAGTTTGTCCTGAGGGTCCTCTATGGGGGCTCCCTCCACTCCCACCACATTGTCCTTGTTCTCTGTGAAGGTGGTCTCGGAGCTCTCACTCTTCAAGTCCTTGCTCTGGAGGCTGACATCGTCCTTGTACAGGATAAAGTTGGGCCTATAGAAGGCCTCCACTGCCAGGTGCAGAGAGGTTGCATCCAGAAACTGCTGGGCCTTAGTCTTGCCGTTGCTCCCTGTGACGAAGTAGCCAATGATGTTCTCCTGGTACTGGTGGTTGGGGTAGTCGCCCTGGTAAGCCTGGTAGTCGTTGTGGACCACGTGTCTGCTGCTGGTCTTATCTAGGAGCGGGTTCTGCAGCTCACTCAGACTCTCCATGGTGGGGGACAGAGAGGGACTTCAGGGAGATCTGAGTGGATAGACCGCAAGCTCTGATAACAGGCTGGGAGGTGGAAAGGACAAGACAGGTATAGTTACGGAAAGTGGGATGAGGTATGATATGTGATGACATTCAATTGTATGAAACTCTCACTGATGCATTGACAAAAGAATCAGCTAAATGTGTCTATATGGGGTGATGATCAGGAGAGGCTGATGCAGCACACTTGTAGATTGGAGACATGGTTTAAGGGCTGGGAATATTCTTCACACGCTAATACACCTCACACGGTATGAACCACCAAATCACCATCTGTCACTGTTACACATTTCATGCCCCTAAATTCACATAAAAACGGTGGTAAAAAGTCCCCCATCATTTTCCAAGCTCCTTCCATACCAACGAGTGAGATGAAGACAAATGTTGGATGATTTTTTAATGCATACTGATCATAGTGCCGAGCTACCCTCTATGAACTAGTCATCACTGCATCGTTGGAGTACTCCATTCTAGAAGTGGGGGAAAGCCTCTCATACAGTAGGTCATGAATAAGCTCCAGTGATGTTGACTGTAGAGACACTTGACTTTTAAAAAGCTAAACAAAGCACCAAAGCAAATAACAAAGGTACTTTCATACTATGGTAAGTGTATTCTCAACAGGCTATTTCAATAATAGGCTATTTCAATAATGACAGTAACACCATCAGGGGAGCTTGTCGCCAGGATAACATGTCTTCCTGTGAGCAAGTTTGTTTTTTTAAGCAGTATGATTCATGTGCTCTGAAGTGCTGGGAACTCACCACTATTCCCTCTCTCACTATCAGACAGGGAAATTAGCATAAATAGAACTAGTAGCCAACCAAAGCGGATCAGCTCAGTCCCAGAGGAGGTCGATGAGAAGACCTTCTTGTACAGCAAATTAATCTTTCCACCCAAGCCTACTCACTGAGGCTCTGATGAGAGGAGAGCATACCAGCTTAATTTTCTCTCACGCATCTCAGGCAATGGAAAAACCCAGTGAGTCTATATCCTGTATCCTATAGCATAGTAAATGCATCCTATAGGTCTACTATGGAATGATGGCATTAAGGTGGCTATGTCAGATTAGTCATCATGTAGCTGTTTTTGTGTGGAAGAAGAAGGCTTGGTGGGACGGAATTCTGAGTATTAGTTTAACCTTCATTCTAGGAAATGTTTTTGGAGATTAATTCACCCAGGAGCAATATCACAGAACATGAACATTAAGGAGTTTATCTAAGGGCTGGAGCAATAAATGTTATTTCAGCCTGGACCTTTGACTCTATGAAAAATCATGTCCATTTGACAAGATTCCCACAACACACAAGTACCTTCTCCTCTGCATGTCAAGGCAAAGCATCAATTATGATTTATGTTTTTTCAGTGTGCTGCCTTCGCTTTAGAATTACAAAGTGATTCTCATATGCCTTTGAGGATGCATCTCTGTTGCTTTTCAGATAAGAGGAAATTTCAATTCACAGTACATTACACAACAAAGAGCATATTTCATGTCCACTAATAAATCATCAGACAGACAGTGACATGCACTTATGTTTATATGAGTCTCTGGTTGGAGAGCTCAGTTTAGTAAGCGTGAAGAGGGCTCATGAGCTGTTCTCTCTCTCTCGCTGATTAATGTGAGTAGAATACATTTTTGAGAGGTGACAACAATGATCTGAAATGACAAATCACTTCTAACAGTCTTTTACAGTGCTTAGTCCATTTTGGAATACAACTATGGCTAATTGAATGCCCAATTCTGAAATGTCACACATTCATTCCTATTCCACACCTTCATCAATCGCAGTCTGTCTCTATAAATATGTTAGTACATTAATTATGTATATCTAATGGCATTGAGACTTCACATTTTATCATAATTCATCAGTGTCGACTGACTAGCTGATGAAATATAGACATGTAGCATCTCAAGATATTACAAATCATGAATTTTAGGGAAACTTAGATTAACAATCACGGACATACAAAGTGAAAATGCATGACAGTATGTAATGCAATTAATTCAAGGCAATTCAAGGTAATCAATTAGTCCATCCATCTTACCTATTGTACAAGATCCTGCCACGGACTGCCTCAATAGCATTCCCCTTTTACTGTTGTCCAAGAGTCGATGGAAAGGGGTTCAAAATCATACGCCGGCACCTCTGTAGTTCACATAAAATTGGAGACATTTATAAAAGACAACGAGGACCAATGCGCAGGTAACTTTCAGTCTGTAAGTCGCTCTGGATAAGAGCGTCTGCTAAATGACTAAAAATAAAATTTAAATAAGCATGCACTGACGGACCGCGCTCTCTGAGCTGACAAGACAGAGCGCTGCGTATTGGAGAGGTGTTGATTACGCACACTCACAACATAGTTTCACTTCCTCAATAACTCTCTAAATAACTATCAATAATGGCTATAGCTCATACAAAGTACATTGAATATATGTTTTCCATCCACTGCGATAGGCTACAAAGTCGGTTGTAGCCTAGTCTACTGAGTTTGCTTGGTCGTAGAATCACCCTTGCTAATCTATGTTTCAGCGCGCGGTACCGGTGATCATGCCTCCAGCCGCCAGCGTCATCGTATGGCAGACACTCGTCTTGAAGAAGATAGATTTTGATGTCCTACGCTAGTACCGACTGACACAGACGTCCATGTTCCTTTTTTTCTGGACAGGTGACTGAGCATGACTGTAGTATCAGTAGCCTACTAATTTTACTTCTAACTTCCCTGTACTCTTTTTAGTTATTGACAATGACATGACAATGATAAGCTTCACCATTTTCATCATGGACGCCAGTTTGGTTTTAGAAATGTGTGTGTGTGTGTGTGTGTGGGGGGGGGGGGGGGGGGTTACATAACCTGGTGGGCATCCCGCATTTTTATACAATCCAATATGCCATCTCTATTTAGAACAAAAAGTAAGCAAAAATGCCCACAGTCATCAAGCTAGGTAAGAGATCATTATTAAATATGTTTAAGTGATTAATAAGGCTGAACTAGAGGTCATTCAATAATAAATATTGTGTTGCACCTTTAACCAATAGCCTAACAAATGAACAACTCTTGAGAAAATACAACAACTTTTGATTGTCTTTATTAAGACATCCTCTATATCCAATTTCAGCCAGACTGACCAACCAGTCCGAGCCGCCTGCACGCCCGACCCTCACCAGTCTAGTCAATAATTAAACAATTTCCCAACACAATTTCCTTCCCAGTTCCCACCTTCAATTTTTTTAATTCTCAAGAGAAGGGTTTGGAAATAACAAAAAAACACATACACCTCAAATATATATTAACACACAGAAACAGCAAATCCTCCATATAATTAATCGCATAGACCTAATAGTACTGTAGAGCTCTTTTTACTTGCACACAGTATAGCTGGGTCGTCCCATCCTGTCCCTAGGGGTGCACCACCCTGCAGCGCCCCAACCCAAAACACCCCACTCAGCTTTAGGATCTTAATTATTTGTTTTGGGTGGGTTAGGCCAAGGCCAGACTGACAACCCACAGGACGGTAGACCCCCAGGGCCAGGACTGAGCAGCCCAGCAGCTAGGGATTGCCTAAATAGATATCTCCCCTGACATGAGCATGTTTTCAATACAGACTCCTTTAGTCGTACTGTATTCCATATCAGGCATCCAGACCTTATGAAGGTTGCCCAGTATACACTTAATCTTGTAATAATCAATCTAGTGAACCTCATCCTGAGTCGTCCTGTTTGCCATTTTTCCTACTCCCTTTCTGATTTCTTAACGTCCCTGCCGTTCGGGCGATGGCTACCCCGATAACCGCATTATCTCATAGCATCTGCAACTGGTTGATCATTTTAATCTGACTGATCATTCCCATTACATACAGTATTCAGTTCACCTTTGGGTTCCGTATTTTGTTTTTGCATGTTGGCTTGCGGTATACCTCCTTGCCTCTGAAACGTCGAGATCTAGGGGGTATTTCAGGAGTTTGCCCTGACATAGTCTCCGACCGTGGTCCTCAGTTTACCTCTGCTGTCTGGAAGTCCTTCTGTTTGGCCATTGGAGCTACAGTCAGTCTCACATCTGGTTTTCACCCCCAATCTAATGGTCAGGCGGAGAGAGCCAACCAGAAGATGGAATCCACGCTACGCTGCCTTGTCTCCTCCAACCCCACCTCCTGGGTCTCTCAGTTGCCTTGGGTTGAGTATGCCCACAATACTCTCCCTACATCTGCCACTGGGATGTCTCCCTTCCAGTGCCTGTATGGCTACCAACCTCCCTTGTTTCCTTCTCAGGAGAGGGATCTCTCAGTGCCCTCTGTTCAGGCCCACATTCGTCGTTGCCACCGGACCTGGCATCGGGCCAGAAAGGCCCTCCTTAGAGTTTCTGACCGGTATCAGCTCCAGGCGAATCGTCGCCGGATTCCCGCCCCCCACCTATACCATCGGAGATAGGGTCTGGTTGGCCACACGGGATCTTCCTCTGCGGACTGAGACTAAGAAACTGTCACCGAAGTTCATTGGTCCGTTTGTGGTGGAGAAAGTGATAAATCCTGTTGCGGTTCGACTCAAGTTACCTAGAACGCTCAGAGTCCATCCCACCTTTCATATCTCCTGCCTCAAGCCTGTTCTCCTCAGTCCTCTGTTGCCTCCTCCTCCTCCCCCTCGGATGATCGGAGGTGGTCCTGCCTACACGGTGCGCCGCATTATGGATTCCAGACGGCGGGGCCGGGGTTTCCAGTATCTCGTGGACTGGGAGGGGTATGGTCCTGAAGAGAGGAGTTGGATTCCTCGGCGTCAGATCCTTGATGCTGACCTCCTTCGTGAATTCTACCGCCTCCATCCTGGCGCTCCGGGTAGTCCGCCCGGTGGCGTTCGTCGGAGGGGGGGTACTGTCATGAACCCTGCATCCTGAGTCGGTTCCTGCCTGTGTTGCCATTTTTCTGCTCGGAATCTCCAGTTTCCTGAGGGTTCTTGAACGCTCCCTGCCT